TAGTGATTCCAGGTTTTCCATGGTTATCTAGCTGCAATTGTCTCATAAATTCAACTATTAACTTCTAGAAATTGTTTCTTCTATTCTCCATTCCCAGTTCAGTTACTGTAATGAAAATATATTTTAAGTGACTGATGTTTAACAATATTACATTTTTTGTTAAATAATTCCAGTTTTCCAGTATGTATTTTTAATTAGGTTCTATGAATATAATGTTTATATATTTCATGGCTTTAAATAAACCCTATTCAAACTAGTTTATTTTACTAAGGAAATATAAGTCATTAATTGACTTGATTTAAATCGCTACATTGTTTCAATTATTTTTTTGTTAAAGCATTCGTGTAGACATCCGTGATCATAAGGGAGTAAATGAACAAACATTAATCATATCATATGATATTGAAAAAACAACCATCTTTCCTATGGATATGAAGTATATACCATATGAATTTGTTTTTTCTAGTCTAGTGCAAACAGTTTTGACTGCCATCAGTGTTTTGTCGGTATATTTTTATTCATTTCTTAATAAATATGAGTATAGTTTTCTTTTTAAATTAATGTTGTTATAACAAAGATTAAAACGACTTACTTGATGCATAAAAAAATTTGATCATACGGTTTGTTTAATTTCAAATGATCAGATACATAGAAACTAAACTGTAGAAATAACCATCTTTTAACTCTCCCCAAATTAAATATAACGGTTTAAGCACTAAAACTACATATATATATATATATCAGTAATTACTAGACAGCGGATTTCACAGGTAATTTCAATATTTGTACTAACAAATATGGGTTTTGTTCTTTGTTTTTAAAACAAAGTGCAATATTGGAGAGATAAAGAAATTAATAATGAATTTCAAATAAACTGATAACTTTAAAACTTTGAAATAACGGTATAATAAAGCTTATTCAAGATTCTGAAGGCTAAGAGTTCATCAATCAGCTAAAATATTCAACATACCTAAATACTTTGACTTTTTATTTTTGTAATCATTTCATCATTTTGATGGTTTGGTTATTAATGCGCATTTTGACTCCACATTTTAATATTGTCCCACATTTGTATATTCTTAAATTGATTGCAAACATTACAAATTATATAAATGAAAATTCTTTTAATAGATATTTCATCCATCTATGTTCTTCTGCAAATGAACGGGTGTAGTGATTGTATAACACTAGAAAAGTTGGTAAATGTTTACATACACAACTCAATATATAAATTATTTCCCCCTAAAAGTTAAGTAATTCAGTATTGTCTTTTGAAGATGAGGATCACATTGATTAACCAATAGATGTACATTACATTCTCGAATATTTATACATAGTTATGCCAGACATTACAATAAATCACACTAATAACCAGTCTTACTCATTATTTCCCATAAAATCATACATAAATTATGTTGGTTTTGTACAAGGATTTAGATTCTTACGAAGAAAAACATATTAGTTTATGTTTTGGACATATATATATTTCGATATTCGGTATCTGCTTCATACAAATCTGTGTAAATAATCCCTTGTTATATAAATAAATCAAAAGACTGATATTAAAAGTTTTATATAGATGTTAGTACAACAATATGACTTTCTTCCTTTGTTAATTGTGCTAGTTTACAATAAAATAATCACACCTTACAAATGAAATATATATTACTAGTTGTATTATGATATAATGTACGTTTTAGGCTCCAAGTAATTTGACTTGCATTAATTTGTATTTCTGGACAAATTGTCTAAGAGATTTTATTTAAAGATATGGTGTGGACTGTGTTTAGAGGGAATTGGTAGAAAGCCTTGCACATAAGTTTTGTGTTACTTTCCATTTGTTGGTAAGTTCAATCCAAAATCTTGAGGCAATCAATATCACCAAAACGGTTGTAGATTGTTTCGTTCACTGATATGCTAAACAAATGAAACATTGTTTGATTTTCAGCGACAAATCAATGTAAAATTCTCGGCCTTTCAGAGTGTTGATTGTGGTCCAGTATGTTCAGTGTTAGTGTCTCTTGATGTAGTACTGGATAACGTACATTCAAAAACTATAAAAAATAAACCTTTCTTTGGTATCGTAGATACGGCTTATTGGTGAATGAGAACTAGGAGGAAACGTAAATCTATGGTCTCATATAGATTGCATCCACAATCTAACAGTAGTTTAGGCTATTGATAAAACTAGGCTAGTGTTTAATTTAATCATGTTTACATTTTAAAATTGACCTACGGGTTATACCGTTGAAAAAAATTCAGTATGTTATTGTTATTTAAAATAGTTGGATATACTTTATTGTTGACGGTTACAATGCTCGAAGTGAAAATGGGTTGATTATAATACATTTCTATCTATTTAATAAATGTTATTTCTCAAGATGAAGCTGAAAGGACCATGTTTTGTCTATTCAAATCTTTTAGTTTCCCGATATATACGCGATTTCTGTCGTCATTCTTTTCTCCATAGGATGCAAATTTCTTCCGTAAAGTTTTGAACTTTGTGAATGTGTCTTGATTCATTTGAGCATAGTGTTGTCATATATTTATTCATACACTCTTATGCTTTCTAGGTGTTCAGAAATGTGATTTAAACATTTTATTTCATATTCTTTACATTGAAGTTGTCTAGATTACCTACTTTTCATATACAAGCTTCATGAGATGAATAACTCACTTTGACTGACTCCTAGAAACTATCATTGTAGTGTTAATGATTTTTCAGTGAACTGATCATCTAAAAATAACTATTATTATTATTGTCTTGGATTAAACAGTTGAGAAGTACTAGTTTGTAATTACTAGATATAACCTTCTTAGTAGAATGCTCACTCTCTGATATATTGTTCTTATTTTCAAAATGTTTATCTATTCCATTTAATTTAGTAACAACAAACGTTCCAGTCAAAGTACGTCACATTTCAGTATGGCTTATAAATTTCATGTATTTATCATATACTGATTATTGATTACAGTTTACCAAAAGTGAAAACTAAACAAACGTTTAAAATGTAGTTAAGTACATTAATGGATAAAACACCTGATTGGTAAAATCTTTTCAGCTCTAATTATGGATAATATAAAAATTATGTTAGAAGAGCACGAAAGCAAAACTGAATCAGTTTAAGGCATGTGATAATTGGAGTGGTAGATAAGAGATAATGGTAGTAGAGAACAAATTTAATGTTTTATTTGCTGTTAAGTTAATTGCTTTACTTATCTAAGAGATAGAAATAATTGTACACGGCGAATTGCACATGAACTAAATTATAGATAATAATTATCACATCATAAAAGGATATTATAATTCTGCCAAAATATTAAAAAGAATTATTTCTGAGTAATATAGGATACATATTTTTTTGATACAATTAAGTGACAAGATTTTTCAACAAACCGAACCAATCAAACCTTGATTGATGAAATCAGTGATAGAATCATCCATTTGAATGATGTAAAGTTGGAAGAATAACACATTATCACTTCATCAAGTTATAATGAAGTAAAAATTGTTTATCTGTAGAGTGATTTAATTAACAGGGTTAGTTGAATACAGAAATTTTTGAAAATATATAAATTGAACATTACTGTGAGTTTTAGAAACGTGACTTATTATGTTAGTTTTCTTAGTGATCTACAGAAATACTGTCTACTATGTGATGGTCAGTAGTTGAAATATAACAAACTGATTACTTTACCGTATGTTGCATGAATATATGGGTAATTATCTTAATAAACAGCTTGAAGATGACTTATACACAGCCAGATATGGCACTCTTTGTGGACGATAAAGAAAAATAGGGGAAAATAATGTACTAAACAATGTACAAATATCATTTGTTCATGGAATGTAAAATTACCAAAACATATCGTACTCGGAAATTTAAAGATAATGTTTTTTAATTGCAGTATGCGGTTAAACCTAAGTACTCTACGTTTCTTCATGCTGTTTGTTACAGTTGAAAAGTAAACATTCTCTGTAATCTCAACTATTACGAAACCTACAGCCTCATTAATTTGTGATAGATCCTATCGAGTGTAAGTGTATCTACACAAATTGTATGTATTGCACACGGTCAATATCAGTATTTTAAAATCAGGTGTCAAATAATGTTTATAACGCTTTATGTATTTTAGTCGGATGCATTTAAAATAAAGTATTTATGCACAAATTAAGAAACAAATTCGAGAAAAAGACCATAAAGTATCGAATGACTAGTGAAAGTATCATCGGTATGTGTGTGGAATTCTGGATAATTCTTAGTAGGAAGATATAAATTATTTGACAATATTGATAAATATACTTAGCTGTCAAATTATGGTACTGTTATTAGTTTGGTTTATGAATGCTCTATTCCAGGATATTTATCGAATAGACTGACAAATCAATAATTTAAATTTGTATTTCTTATAGTTGAAAATGGTAAAATTCATTCGACTGACATTTTTCTATTTAACGTTATTAACCTTTTCATCATACCATTTAACCGATAAATTTACTACTGAGAACATGACATGCCCATAAGTGATTATTTCTAATGAAAAAACAGTAAAAACAAAGTTGGTAGAAACGTTTGGTAAAACATTAAAAAAAAAAGATATTGATACTTTGTATCTTGAATAAATTAACGGAAACCCCTCATTTGTTTATATAATTAAATGATAAAAACCAAACTATTAATCAAATTTTAGGAAAAAGCAGGAAAGCATAAAATTGTTTAAACAAGTTGTTACCTATCATTTTGCAGACATTTGTTATAACTTGTGGCCTTGTGCGAGGACAGAGTAAGTTAAAGAATGCTGGTCGGCGGCCTATGTACCATTGGGAGTAACAGGTGTAAGTAAGTAAATGGTTCTGTGCCATACTAACGTATAACGTAATGATACCACCAATATAGCACAGTAATTTATCGACCGGACCAAACTCGTACGAGCGTTTTGGAGTCCTTATCGGTCCTGCTTCCTTCCTAACCCTGCCTGTTAAGTCCAGAACATCAATCTCAGACTCTGCGATCTGAATAATGTATTTCAAACATACTTGGTTTATAGACAGACCAAACAGACTATATCATACCACAAAATAGAAAACAACATTTGTACAAGATCTAGCCAAAAGTGGCTATGAATGTGGGAGACTGTAATTAATAGACTGGGCATAACTCAAGAATAGTAAATCGTGTAATAATGGTCTATGAGTCAACATAAAGCTAATAATAAGAGGAACATAAATATGCATAGTTTAGCGGTACTGAATAATTATACAATAAAAGTATATGTATCGTATTTGTCCATAAATAGTTCTCAAGAGTTATCATTCATTATTGTCTTCGGGATATAACAACATTATTATGTGATCATCCAAAAATATGCTCACAGTTATTCAGACAAAAATATTATTGTGAAATGAAGAAAATGATTCTAGTTAGGGACAATCTATTTTGCTACTGTGCATTTAAATTTCAACTTATGAATTTGGTTACTAATGAATATGATGTGATACAAATCAATAAAGATGTTTAGAAGGAATGAAGTGTTCATTACTGGATCTTCACAGATTTTAGTCAGTGATTTTAGAGGGACAGTGACATGGTTGTAAAATTCAAATTACGAATTGTGTGGTATTTTAAAAACACGTATCAGATTCTGTTAATCCCATAACAGTAGGATTATTTCTATATATGATTAAGATCATTATACTTGCAATAAATGTTTTGCTGAAGGTGTATAAGTTAAGAAACAATGGAATCTTGATTAGGAAGTTAAGTGGCTACTGTAGTCTATTAAAATGTCAACATGTTTGAACAAATTTATTCTGACTCAACTTTTGCCTGACTCAAACAGGACAGCAAAAACAATCATTGTATTCAAACAACATTTATGAATAATTGAAATGACAGTAACAAACAAAATTAGGCATTATATATATAAGAAATTCCAAGTTGTTCAGTTAAACTGGAAAAACGGTATATATATAGTTATTTTTGGAGATTAGAAGGTGGTTCGCTAAGGTACTTTGTTTCTCTTAATAATCTTTGATTAGTTTCAGAAATTTTACAACATTTTTGACACAGATGACAATAAGTATACCTAAGTGTTTCTCGAAAATCTCTATTAAGAAATAAATAAAGAAAAAATGTTGATGCAAATGCAAATTGAGCTAAGTTAATTGTTATCATTCTATATAAATGATAAGTTACACATGTTTGTATTTGATCAATAGAGCATACACCAAGTGTAGTGAATACTCGAACATAAGCTAATGCTTGAGGTACTTGACCAATTAAAAATAATAAAATCACAGCAATTAACAAGATAGTTAATTTTGTTTGGGCATTTTGCCTTCGTTGTTTAGAACGATCTTTCAATGTTGGTCTTTTGGTTTCAATACTACTATTGTTATTATCATTACTATTATTATTATTATTATTATTATCGTGAGTATTCTTTCTGGAAGTCAACTCAACTTCATTTTTATTATTCATTTTTTCTGTAATACCAAGTTCATTTCTTTCAATTGACTGTAAATTGGAATCATTCATTAATTTTTGTTCACCGTAATAATTTATAGCATCTGTACAACTATCTTGTGATGCATCATCAACTTGAATTTGTTGTTTATGTAGTTTTGATTTGTTAAATATATTTTTAGATAATTTATTTTCTTTCCTATTAGTATTATTCTTTATTTTATCATTAGTAAATCGACGATTATGATGTGATACAAGTATAAATAATAAACAATTTGATACACATAAGAAACATAATGGAATAATTTGAACAAATACAATACGTAACCAAGAATATAATGCATAATATGTTGAACGTGAAAAACTAGTTAAATCACTATGTAATTGTAATACACCATCAACATATTTTAATGATACTCGTTGAATTGCAAAATATGGTATATTAAATATAAATGCTATTATACATATCGAAGCAATTAATTGACGTGTACTTTTACGTGTAAAATATCGTTTTGATAATGACCAATGTTTCATACTGACATAACGTTCAATAGCAAGTGCTACAGTTAACCATGCACTAATATTTTCTGTCATATTTGATACAGGTGTTTCAACATATATACTGTACATATAAATATAGATAGCTGCATCCGTTGCATGATGATTCAAATGTGGAAGACTAAAATGAAATAAAGTACAAAAAAAAATATGTAATACATTCATATCAAATTCATAGTTATTCTTTTAAAAGAAAATTAAATATGAAATGGGTTATTTCAAAAAGGAATATGCTCTTTATTGATACGTTTTGCTGAATGGGATATTCTGAAGATTCTAAAACACCACTTTTACACTTTACCTTTCAAGATAAAATGTTAATGCGACTTCAATAGACAATTTGTCTTAATTAATAAATAGCCATAAAGATATTTATTTAAACTTCAACCAAAGATGTAAAATTAAGAAAAAATTATTTAAACGTGAGAAGTCCAGAAGTTTTTGTTTAAAACTTCAGTAACGTTGCTCATTATATTCTTCAGGTTTTCACCAAGTCTAGGTGTTATATGGAAATTACCATACGTGCTTTACACCAAATAACAATAAGATAGAATATTGTTTGACAATGAAGTTGGTCGAAGATTAATAAAATTGGGTTATTCATACTATTTCTGTAGTACTTTCTCTTGTAAAAATAACCAAATAGCGACTCAGTATTAAATTTTTCTGGATAAAATCTATTAGATACATTCAAAATCTACAAATGTAAACAAACTTACATGATAATGAAAAACGATCTGTATAACAATCATTTATCTAGGACAGTTACTTTCTCGAAGAAAATTAGTATGTCATTCAGAAAGACATATATGGTCTACGCGAATATCTTATATCTAAATCGATAATAAATGAATATTTTTAGAGTAGCTTCCTATACTACAGGAAAACATCAAGCTAATCATTATAAAATATTTTAGTGTAGGGGTACGGTTACTCATTGTCCGAAATATTTCTTTATATAGAAATATACCATTAGTTTGTAGTGTTTATAATAGATTTTATAATTAAATTCCATAATAAATCAGATTATATTACTTCCAAGTGATGTAGATGTAAATCAATGAATTTTTAATTTACGTTATTGTTTAATAGTAAGTTATACATGGTTTTCTCTTACTGTTCAGTGAAATGGAGTCAGTGCTAGTAGGTTTAGGTGTTTGCGGCCTGCTTAAACGTTTAGGTCATGTATTTTCTCAGCTATGTAATTTATACAAATAATCTACCTGTTTTAGATTTGGTTAAACCAAATGATCATAAATTCTAATCGGTTACAATTTACCGCTCGGCAAAATACTGGTAAGTTTAAACAAAAACTCTACAGTTTTTTGTAAAAAGTTCCTATATATCTATTTTATTAAAAAAGTAGAGAGCAATATATTTGGGAGAAATAGTTTTAACAGCTGAAATGGAAGTAAAATTTAATAACAGAATCCAGGTGGCAGGTATTGACCTGTTGAAAGCATCTATGAAATATGGGTTGACTAATTTGCGAGATATTTGTTGAGAATATTCATTATAACAACAATTAAACTGAGCTATTATTACTATTATTTACAAGCGAAGATCAAACAAACCTATCAGAAATTTGAGCATAACTAATCATCAAATAAGGCATATCATATAGACGAATATTTTATCTGTCAAGAGGCAAAATATCACACAAACAGATTCCCTGTTAAACTTAAACAGAACAAGAACGACAAGCTTTAGAAAACAAAATGAATTCATTTTATGTCGTTGCATACGGTGAATAATAACACCGAATAATATTATTAAATGCACTTGTTCACATTGTAAAGTTTGAATAAGTGTTCAAAATCAAAATGATGATAATAATAAGAAGTAAATTTTATAAATAAATGTAGTGAAGATCATCGTGGATTGGTTGAAGTTGGGTATTAACATCGTTGGATGCCTGCTCAGTGGTTTAGAGGTTAAGCATTCGCGTGAGACCGATAAGTCCTGGGTTCGAATGCCGCGGGTCGGAGTCATGGGTGCACACCGCTGATGGGTCGCATATTGGGACGAAACGGTTGTCCACTGCTTCTAGGTTTTCCATGATGATCTAGCTTCAATTGACTTGTGAGTTGAACCATTAATTAAGAACAGTTTATATTTATGTGTTAGAGAATAAAGATGTAGAGCAATATAGGTGCTATAGTTACTATTAATCAAAATTAAGATAAAAGAGGTTATTGGTTGTATCATCACTCGATTAGATCACATTAATATGTGAACATCAATACAATTATGCAAGAGGTAAAAATACCAGAAATTGTAAAAAGAAGGGGATTGCAAAACAATAATAGAGATTATTTGATAAATGCTCAGTCACTATGGCAGAGAAAGGCTAGTAACACTTTCCTTGCCACTGCAAAATTAAAAAAATTAGTATTTTCTGTTTTTTGATTATTGTGAATGCATTACTTATATTCTTTTCATGTTCACTACTCAAAAGTAGCTTGACAATTATAATCTTAAAGATTTTACCCCCCTTCCAGATATAGGATCCTAGAAACAAGTTCATATAATTTAGTAGAAATCCTTCCTCCATACTTGCCACGTCGGAAGGGTAATGATCTACCTTTGTATGGTGTAATGAACATTTTGTGTTATCTAGTGAAACCAGTTGAGTAGCAACGATACTTCATTTCAGTACTGTCTTCATTCTTGATTTAGAGAGCCAATCAGAAATGGCCCAATGTGAAGGTCAGTCGATGGCAATCAGAAGTGACCTCAATAACAAGTGCACTTCATTGGATAGGAAATTGATCAATTTCTTAAGAATAAAGCGGTATATATGAATGAATATTTGTGGATTTTGTTCGGTAGTCCAATGCACTTTCTCGTTCAAATAATCAGTTAGATGGTTATTGTGTACCACACTGTGTATCACTAACAGTCTTCAAAAATCGTCCATCACAACAACTCTATCAAATTCATCTTAAATCTCAACTTTCTTGAACGAGAGACAGACAGGCTTAGGTTTCTTCAAACATTTACCTATTTTTTCACAGATTGAAATCATGAGTCAGTTGAAGCTAGACCACCATTGAAAACCTGGAAGCACTGGACGGCCGTTTCGTCCTAGTATGGGACTCCTCAGCAGTGCGCACCCACGATCCCGACTGACTCATGATTTCAATCTGTGAAAATTTCTAAAATCTCCACAAACCCCTTATGATATTTATCTTTCTATCATTGCTAGGGTATTCTTTCGCATATTTCACAATAAATTCTCTCAGGATTCATTATTTAATAACAAACGTAAGAAAACATATAGTACTCTGGATCAAATATACCATCATTATTTACACATGATCTGGAGTAAAATAAACAGAAGTTTTAATGAGATACATATTACCCAATGGTATAAGTAAATGAGTATTACGAAAATGATTACAAAGGAAGTGATAATGATTAAGCGTCTTAATGAGAACCATTATATATCAACCTTTTAGTTTTCTATGTTTCTTTATTATATGGGAACAGTAATTTTTAGTTAATTTTTTATTCCACTTAATCATATGCTTCATTTAAGACAAAAATTAAATCTATCATGGATTAACTTGTATGAAAAGTTTATTCATTGTTATCTATTTCTATATGTGGGGTGATTTCTTACAGAAATGGCCAAAAAATGTTCTTTTTTTTAAAAAAAAGCCAGAACTATTTTCTAATGTTATAAAACTATAGAAACTAGATGTTTTATTTTTAAATTTTATTATTTACAGTTCAATAACATTGACCTCATTTACACACCATCTTTGTATTATCTAAGTATCATTTTATAGAAACTAAATATTCTAGTTTTCCCTATTCAATGTATTTTATTGTTCAATAATGAATTATGAAATAGATTGATCTTATATTAGAATAATAAATTTAGTTCTATTTAATTGATCGACATAATATAATGTGATCTGATTCATAATCTATTCTCTTTTCATTAATATAAAGTAAGTTTCATTGAAATGATAAACAAAACAAAAAAAAGAGAAAAAAAGAGGGATTAACATAATCTCTTTGATGGGTATATTTGGTCATGATGAAGTATGAAAATTAAAAAAAAATATCAAAAAAGGGAAAAAATGGAAGTAGTTCACATGAACTATGATCTTATATACATAAGATTAAATAAGACTATGGTTATTTATAATACTTAAGTGTATGTACTTCATTAATTTAGTAAAAGACAAATATTCAATTGAAAAAGTCTATTTCTTAAACAAGAGTTTCATTTCATCGATTGTGTTTGAGATTTTAGTCATTTTTAAAAAGATTAAATAAATTTCGTTGAATTCATTGACTTTATTATTATTATTATTTTCTTCAAATAACATTATAGAATAAATTCACTTAGAGTTGTTTCACTTGTATCAACCTATTGTTATTTAGGACTGCAGTTGATCAGTCTGTTATTGAAATGTATGCACTCTGTGTAGACTGCCTCGATATTTCCTTAGGTCAAAATCTTTTTGAGCAAAGATAGATAGCGGCTAACAGTGAAATCCAGGATTAGCGTTTCGTCATATTTGGGACTCGTTAGCTGGATGTACCTGAATCACAGAATCGATGTTCAAACCGGGACTCGAACCCAGTACCGTTCGCTTTTAAACGCTATTGTGTTATCCATTTAGATAGTGAGTCCTGATAGTCACTTGCTTGTGCAATGGGGTGAGTTTTTAAATTCGCTTGATTTTGTTTACTTGTATTTTCTCATTGTCATTTATAAAAAGTGTTATTAGGTTTTATGTATTACTTAATCAATTTGTTTGATTTAATCACATAAATATTTGTACAAGGCGGCACCAAGCAGATATGCACCATCCTTCGTCATTCAGTTTGTATGAGGGCTGGAATACCACCCAGGTATACAAACCATTACTTATTTCTTAATCAAATGGCAGTTTCGTCCCATCGTGGATTACTTGAAGTTAGACATTGACACCGTTGGATGTCGGCTCAGTGGTCTAGTAGTGAAGCACACGCGCTCGAGATTAACGTCATGGGTTCTAATCCTGCGGGATGGGGTCGTGGATGCGCGCTTCTGAGGAATCTCACAACAAGACGAAACGGCCGTCCAGTGCTTCCAGGCTTTCCATGATGATCTAGCTTCAA